TGGTGTGGCCTAATCAGTAGTACATACATGTGCATGACAGTACACATACCAATTAGAGTACACCTTTTAGCCTAAAATGTTCCGATGTTTAAAATGCCATAAGAGTGATTTGCAAGAACTATCGTTTCTTGTTGATTAAGATAATAATAACCGTTTTTCGATAAAAATGTAGAAAATGTTAAAGTACGACCGCAGTCACATATTTGAGCGTTAAAACGGACAAAACTGCATCATTTTGCCTTGTTTTCTACTCGACAAAGTCACATAATCACGTGGTAATTTCGCGCTCTACTAAGTTGGTGACGCCAAAGTGCATTACGTCATAGTGTTAAATGTAATTCCCAGACAATCCGCTAGGCAGTCTAGATCGTGTCGACAGAATATGTTGGACCGTCCATATATCTAATACCCAACTTGATAATTTTGTAAAATCGTGTGCTAATTCGCCATATCGAATCAGCATGCTACCCTATCATGATCGTATATTCGTGTGTTAATGTGTTCAGCCAGATCTTGTTCACACCCATAACCAAGGAGTATGGGGTGGGAGAATTAAAAAAAAAATCCGTCCCTTCGATGTTGTTACGTTCAAACTACGTTTTTTTTCACCCTTTCACCACAAATGTGTAACGTACGAGAATGATATTCAGATTTAGCTCACCTGCAAATTAGAAATACAGTTTATAAAATTACTCATATGTCTTTAGAATGAACTTCTTGGTCTCTATACCGCCCGCGTTGTTGTTAGTGTACTGTGCCCTAAACAACAATTAAGAAGAAATTAATATTTCACTCACCTCCGCACTTTCGTCAGGCTGAATATTTCTTCGACTCAGGAGCGTCGTCACCGGGACCAGTGTAATGTCGAACTTTTCCAGCGGCGAAAAATCAAGTTTTTCTTCACGCGTGATATTTAGTGACGCGTAGTTAAAGAGATTTCAAAAATGTAAGATAGTAACACACAACGCAGAAAACTGTTAGAAACACTACACAAAGTTTCACCGAGGTCCTCGCTAGTATCTTGTCTTTCTAACTATCCAGGCCTCTTCCGTGAGTCAAATTTATAGACGTAAAAACTGGGTGTGTTGGACAGTGCACGTAAACAAATACACTTCAGACGTACGTTGCAGATTAAGTTAAATCCAGTGTTGTGTTCTCCGGTCGGCCTTTCTTGTGGATCTACTACAGGATCAGTGATTCCTTTGTGACCTAGATAGAGGTGCGCCACCCGTAAACAGGAGGGGTCGGACAGCTTGCGTAGCTGTGGCGGCCCAGGGACGGGGGACGCCCATAGGCAAGGCAGAATGCTTCGCTAACTACGTAAAAGTGACTCATAGTGGGGTCGCGTGGCGTGCTCGACTCGGAAACAAGAGGTCGAGGTTCGAGTCCTGACATGCCACCGATCTTGTGCCCTTTACACGACTTTCCTCACTTAACTCAAGTGAAAATGAGTATTGTCCTGTCGTGTATTTGTACTCTGTGTTGGTGGCGGCATAAAATAATTTGAGTGTGCCGTCGCCATGTCTGGTCATGAAATGTTGGAATATAAAAAAAGTGACTCACAACGATTTAAGGGCAGAAGGTTTGGCCCTGACGTTAGTGAAAAACGCCGGAAGTATGGTAGAGAGGTTCAGAACAAGTATCATACTCTTAACGGAACAGTAAACAAATACTGTTCCTAAGAAAAAGGGCTATGGTAGAGAGGAAGTAATTAAATATGGGGCAGATCACAAATCTACCTTAATTTTCTCCCATTGCCACACCTGAGTTGGTTCCGGCACATATAAAAGTATCATACAGTATAGAAATAATTTTTCTAAGAAAAAGGGTTATGGTGGAGAGGAAGTAAGGGGCAGATCACAAATCTATTTATTGTCACACCTCTTTCTCCACCCTTCTCCTATTGGCACACCTAAATACTTTATATAGGAGTTGGTTTCCGGCACCTAAAAAAAGATGCAAAGTAAATCCCAACAGATCAGGAATGTAAACATCTTGTATATAATAATTCACACAATTGTGAAGCCTTGAAGAGCGTAATTTTAGGTTTGTTCCATTGAACTTTTTCTAAAACGGTGATGACAACTGCTGTGTGGTATCTACAAAATTATGAATAGAAATATCATAAAAACGAATTACGAGAAACAAGCGTATGGTTATACATAAGTATAAACCATTCATTCTCTCACTCCCACCCAGCGATATATACATGTACGTACATGTAGCCTGGGGAGCGGCAAACTGTTCTCTTATCACGAACCAACTCCCCTGGCTTATGATCCGTCTATTTGGCCAATTTCCACCCGCTTCCCGAAGCCTGGCGATAGAGGCTAATACACACCGATTTTTGCTGGTTCCCCCGAACCTGGGTGCCATCCTAGTAGCCTCTTTCAGACTTTCTCGTATCCAGTGTTTCTTTCTACCTATTTGGGTGAAATATATTGTATTTGGCTTCTGACTTGAATACTCCGCCATACTACCAGATATATGCACCCCGGCGAAATGTTCTCTCAACGGACAAACTCCCTTGGCATGCTTATCTCTCTATTTGGCCGATTTCTACTATTTCCAGCTGCCTCTGCAAGCCTAGTAGAGGCTACCAGATACAGCCGTATACGGATCTGCCCCAAAAAGACTGGACCACCGCACTGGTAAAAACAAACGCACTGCTAGAAAGTCTGCGCAGGATACTCTCCAAGCAGAGGTTTGGGGTCAATTTTAGGCGTGTTTTTAGGCTTTTTTTATCGGGGTTTCTTTTTTTGCACTGGAATATTTTTCATCCCAACCCCGGGGTGAGTGTGGGCAGAAGTTGGGTTGGGATGAAAAAAATTCCAGTGCAAAAAAAGAAACCCCGATAAAAAAAAGCCTACAAACACGCGCAAAATAACCAAAACCTCTGCTTGGAGAGTACATGCTAGGATAATCTCCAAGCAGATCCCTTTCGGTGGCAAAAAGACAGTATCAAATTGGCCAGGCAGTATCCATTAGCCAGAGAAGGTCCGCGGCCGCCGACGGGTGGTGGGGGTCAGGACAAAAAAAAAGTCCATATCTAAAAAGGTAACGATCATTCCCCACAACCTCTGCTTGGAGAGTATGTGCTAGGACACTAGCCTTCCCCAAGGCTAGGAGCGTCATTATCTACTAGTTAAGTATATCATTCACGTTTTCCCAATCCAACCGGTTGGGTACGTGAGCGATTTGCTTGGTTGGCTAGGTCACTCTTTGATTTCATTTAGATATTAAAATTAAGGAACATTTTATACCTAGTTTGTTGCTTTTATATAAAGCAAAATGTGTTGAGAGACAAATAAGTATACACGTACAACATGGATTAAGTGCTCAGAGTCAGTGGCAACAGTGGAACTCCCGCTGGGTTGGACAACAACATAAGGTAAGTTCAACCTTGGGTAATTTTGGTACATTAAAACATGGCTGTCTAGTACAACATGCACATGGTACAACAAACACGTGCTCTGTTTGTAAAGCGCACTTTAGGCCTCAACAATTTAATTGCTTGTTTCTGGGATTTTTTCAGAAAAAATATGAAGCGATGGCGAAAAAAAACAGGTCAAGGCACACCATCATAGCCGGAAATGTTATGATATAACCCATGAAGTCAGCATACCAGGCTGGTTTATAATTAACATTGTTGCATTACGCCAAAAAAACAGTTACTCAAGCAACTGGATATG